GCCCCACCCTGTGGAATGCCATCTTCTATCTCAAGAAGAGTGCAAAAACAGCCGAAAGTGTGAAAAATGGGTGAGAATGCCAAAAGTCAACCCAAAAGTCAACCCCAAGGGGTGAAAAATGAAAGAAAAGGTCGGAGTGTGGAAAAGGCACGAAGAACGAGGTATAACTCGGGGGAAACAAACCCCAAGTGGTGGAAACCAAGAAAGGGACACCGAAAACGAATTTCGATCGGTTCAAAGTGTGCAAAGCGGGAAGGGTTTTGCGAATCGAACGACGAAAAAGGCCCCGAAACGGGAGGAAAACACGGATTGAAGCGAAGAAAATCACCTTGAGCGAAAGAAGGAGGATTTTTGAGCTTGGAGAAGTGAGGATATAAGGTTTAGAACCTTATATTTAAAAACCCATGGCTAAAAGACAAAACTGCCCCCGAAACTGTCATTTTTGGCCGATCGACCAAATTGTTAGCCGATTGGCTAAATGTTTGGCCGATGATCTCATTTTGTGACCGATAGGTGGCCGATGGACTCCCCTTGTGGTCGATACACCTCCCACACCCTTGTTTAGGTCAGTTGTGTTGTTTGGGACCTTCATTCCTCAAGACAGTGCAAGAAATTAGACTTTTGAAGCTTAACCGGCCTCCGTGTTAACCTCAAACTGTGTCTTCTATGTGCAATGCTCGGTACACGCAAGGTGTATCCTTTTTCGTATCCTTTTGTATCTTGCGAGATTCAGAAACTGCTTTAAATACGTTGCATTACAATGCTTTGTCATGTTTGAAATAAGCGCACACCACGCTTGCATTGTTATGCACGTTTATATGTGTTGTAGCGCACACCACGCTTGCATTGTTATGCACGTCTATATGCATTGTAGCGCACACCATCTCTTGCATTGTTATGCACGTCTATAAGTGTTGTAGCGCACACCATGCTTGCATTGTTATGCACGTACTATATGCGTTGTCACGCACACCACGCTTGCATTGTCATGCACATCCCTTAGGTCGCATTGTCTTGCACCCCCTCCATCCGCGTTGTTTCACATGTCTCATTTGCATCATCATACACCTTATCATATTACATGCATTGTTATGCATTTCAGTTCATGCATTGTCATGCATTTCAGTTCATGCATTGTCATGCACGTCTCATTTGCATTGTCATGCATTTCAACTCATTTGCATTGTCATGCATTCCAGTTCATGCATTGTCATGCACGTCATTTGCATTATCATGCATTTCAATAATTTGCACTGTCATGCACGTCATTTGCATTGTCATGCATTTCAATAATTCGCACTGTCATGCACGTCATTTACATTGTCATGCATTTCAATAATTCGCATATCTCATTTGCATCATCATACATCTTATTATGTTACATGCATTATCATGCATTTCAGTATTTGCATTGTCTTGCACGTTTCATTTGCATTGTCATGCATTTTCCTATCTTGCATTGTCATGCACGTCATTTGCATTGTCATGCATTTCCATACTTGCATTGTCTTGCACATTTCATTTGCATTATCATGCATTCTCTCACCTTGCATTGCCATGCACGTCATTTGCATTGTCGTGCATTCCTAGCCTCCATATCTCATTTGCATTGTCATGCATGTTTCATTTGTATTGTCATGCATTTCCATACTTGCATTGTCATGCACGTTTCATTTGCATTGTCATGCATTTTCCTACCTTGCATTGTCTTGCACGTTCCATTTGCATTGTCATGCATTTTCTCACCTTGCATTATCTTGCATATTTCATGTGCATTGTTTTGCACCCCCCGTAACTGGCATTGTCTTGCTCGTTACGTGCATTGTTTTGCACCCCCTGTAACGGGCATTGTCTTGCTCATTACGTGCATTGTTTTGCACCCCCTATAACTGGCATTGTCTTGCTCGTTATGTGCATTGTTTTGCACCCCCCGTAATTGGCATTGTCTTGCTCGTTATGTGCATTGTTTTGCACCTCCTATAACTGGCATTATCTTGCTCGTTATGTGAATTGTTTTGCACCCCCTGTAACGGGCATTGTCTTGCTCGTTATGTGCATTATTTTGCACCCCCTATAACTGGCATTGTCTTGTTCGTTATGTGCATTGTCTTGCACCATCTATCTAACTTGCATTGTTTTGCAAACTTATCTAACTTGCATTGTTTTGAAAATCTATCTAACTTGCATTGTTTCGCAAACCCATCTAACTTGCATGTTATGTGTCATTACAGCTCTCGGCACCACGCATGTTCTTTGCATTTTGCCCCTGCCTTCAGGCACATATCTTGCTATCTTGTATACTTGTCTAAGTGTTCGGCCTTGTCAAAAACGGGTCGTCTCTGGGCTTTGACATTCACTCCCGTCATTTTTATGACTTTCGAGTTCTGTCAAAGAGGGGCAACTATAGACACCACATTTTTGACCATCCTCAAGACTCGAACATTATCATTTGAACACTCGATCATCATCCATGCTCGTGTTCGTTTTGAGTTCCAGGAGGTCTCGGCTGCGCACCTTGCCTCAAGATCTCTCAACTTGTCTGTTTTGTGCTTGGTTGTTGACCAAGCACTTGTGTTTTTGTTTCTGAGGGAAGAGGGTGGCTTGTTGGCCATTACCTCAACCCATCGGCCAAGGCATGAAGCTATCGGCCTTGTTTTCTTGCCATCGGGCAAAAGTGTTGGCCGATCGGCACTCTTTTTGGTCGGTTGGCCCTTATGTTGGTCGATCGGCCATGTTTTTTGGCCAAACCATGTGCATCTGTTTTATGCAGATATTTTATGCCAACTGGCACAGCTGGCATCCACAATTCACCCCCTCTATACACGTGTATGGAGGGATTTGTCCCTTGCCTTAGCTTGCTTAGGAAGCTTAGAATTTGGACTTCTATAAGAAGGGAGCCCCTCCTCCCTTCTCAGAGGTACTGAAATTTATGGTTTGAGAAGTTGTATCTATCAATCTCTATATTTCCATGTTTGTGTGTGTGTTTGTGCCTTAAAGGTTGTTTTGTTCATACTTTTGCACTAGAGCACCTAGCAATACACCATCCTTGGTTGCTGAGGTCCTAAGTAGTTGGTGTTAGGATTCTTGAGGTGATTTTGATCAGAGAAACCTGCTAGTGTTGTGTTCTTGGAGGTGTTCTTCAAGGGTGAGCAAACTTGCTTTTAATACCCCATTCTTGCTTAAGCTTTTAGCCCTTCTTGCTTATTGTTTTAAGCTTAGCTATTAACTTATAAAAGTTATGTTTTTACTTGTTTTAGACCTTTGTTTAAGGTCTCTTCTTGGTTTGGGGTTGTTTACCCCCTCCAAGGCCTTGTCAGGCCTTGTTTTAGGCCATCCCTTTTAGCCTTTGTTCTTAGCTTTGCATGACCTTTCTACCACTGAAATCCAGAGGATTTTCAACGGTGTGTAGACGCGCCCGCGTGGGGGCCCTCGCTACGGTTCGGACTCAATTTGTGTCACGGTTCTTAATCTGAACCAAAGAGTCCAAATCTGGCAAATCATTTTGAGAAACAGATTTTTTGAAAAGAAGTGCCAAACATGGACTGCTTTGCCATATACAGAGTCGCCACCAAAATATTTTAAAATGGGGGAATTTAGGAAACCCTGACTCGGTGCCAAAGGCCACGTGTCCGTCATCACCAAAGTTGCCTTGGCTCGGGAACTTGGGTACGATTGGGGAAGGTCAGCTATGAGCACCCCCTCTCGCCCGATCCGAAGATCGGCCTCTACTAACCATGATATCCGTTTTTGAAAACGTTATGTGTTCTTATCCCGATTATTAGCCTAGAATTACTATGTTATGCGCACAATTCTACACTAAAATAAAAATCACCTAAATGAATCACATAATTAACTATGTCAGTTGTATGCATTACAAGTAAACACCTGTGGATCCAAATACACAACTGAGGATTACATAGATGCAGTGTATTTGCAACTAGTCAGCTTCCATATGACATGAAATCCAGAATGGCATAGGCACCATTGTTCTATTATTCAACTATACATCTTACATACAAATGCATGCAAGGAGCGTGTAACTATGTTACATGGAAAGCATATTGCTTTAGTGAGAGGGGATGAGCTACGCTACTCTTTCTATTTAATCAGTAGCAGAACACAGTATGCCCTTCTTTTCTTCTTTGGTAAGTACGAGAACATGGTGTGCTGCATATCCTAAAACAAAGTACACTAGATGCAGACTTGTACAAGTCTCATAGTTCCAATTGGTGAGGGGTTTTTGTTATCATACTAGTTCTCTGTTTCTTTTCTTTTTTCGGGCCAAGTTTCATTAGAACTATTGCCCTTTTTTAAGAAATGCAAGAGTGATTTTCTTTTAACATGTCATCAATAATGAAATAATGTTATGTAAATGCACTGTTTATCGTGCTCAAACTTTCTTATACTAGAATTAGTCTCCAAAAACATGAGCATTCAGAAAGTGTATCTCATGTGATTTAAGTCATTGATGCTCTATGACCCTTTATTTAACTCTTTTTTTTTTTTTTAATTTATAGAAAACGCATCTTATGATAGCAAATCATTTTGACCCAAACTTAAGGCGTACAGATGCACGCATTCACCGTCAGGCAAGCCCAGGGAGAGTTAAAAACAGAGGCCTCTAGTTCTTGACTGCTTGCCTCAGCCAACTGAACTATCCAGACAGGTCCATCTCTCAGATTTCAACAAACCATTTGAAGGCAAACTGGTATTTGACCACTACCACAGACAAATAACATAGTACATTCGATTTGCAAGTTTATTTCTTCAAAGGTAAAGTTCAGATCATGTATTTAAATCATGAACAGAGTCAACATACTAGTTTGAAAGAATAGAATAGAAGAAGAAGACTAGTAAACCACACGTGTTCATTTTGAACAACTACACTATTAACAAAAAGTCATAGCAACAAACAGCTTGATACTTCGGGAAAATCCAAAACAGAATTATGAGTGAGAGTTCTAACCATTACAAAACAGGATATGCAAATAATTTGTCTGTCAGATCAAGTGCGTAATAGAACCATTTACCTGCAGTTGCAATGTATGAAGGATGAAGTTGCGAACAATATCGTACTCTTCTTTCAATAAGAAAGCTATACCAGAAGGTATAAAGTCACGGATAAAGACCTGATCATAATTCAGAACATTGGAACTGGTTGGGTCCTTCGCAGCTATTGTTCCAATAGGACTACCACAATAATAAACCATAGATTCCCGGAGCAATTCCCATGCCTCATCCTCAATAGAGTCAACACAAACCTTGTGCAAGGTATCTCTTACTGGTTCAGCTGCAGGTGCATTGCCATTGGATGTAAAGACTTCTGTTTCCTGTTTTGATTCTTGAACCTTCTCAAAGTCTAGAATGTCAGGTCCATTCACAATACCATTAATTGTACTTAATTTCTTTGCATTATCCACATACCATGTTCGATTTCCATTAGCTGAAGTTGCTCCACTCACACTTTCAGCCTGCTGACAATTGCAACTAGCAACATAAGCTCTGAAAATCATGTTAAAACATGGTGCCAAACCAAGCAACAAGTCAAGCTAAACATGCAACAAATGGCCCAAGTGTTTGAAGCAAGTCAAAGGGGGCTCGAACCATGACTAAACCAACCAAGCCTCACAAGGCTAAGGGGACTTAAAATAGGTTCAAGGCAGACCTAGACCATGCAAAGGGGACCCCCTAGATGGCATCTAAGTGGCTCAAATTCAAAAGCATGCACAATGGCCAAAACATGGAGCATATAACACAAGCTCATAAGGCATCAAAGAGACATCCACGGCAAGCATACAAGCATGCTAAGGGGCCTGAAATGATGCTACAAATGGTGCCAAACCATTAAATCAAAGCAAGTAACGCATGCTATACCCTCACATACTTAAGACCAACAAGCCAAAATGCAAAGGGGCTATACTAAACATGTCATAGCGAACCAAAATGACTAAGGACAGACCTCTAACATGGCAAAATAAGCTCAAAAGCTTCACAAAGCTAGACCTAAAACATGCTTGAACAATGGTTTACAACCTAAGGCATGTTAAGGCCTAAACATGGCATTACAAGGTAGGTATGCTAAGCATGCACGGTGTACCAAAACCAACAAAAAACAGAGGCATATTATGATATAATAAGCACAAAAATCAGCTAAGGCATGGTCAACAAGAGCCTAAGCTAGGTGCTCCCTCAAGAGGCAAAAATGGCCCTTTTCAAGGACAACAAGGAGAGGGGGTGGCCCTCTCCTTCTTGGGACCCCAAGGCACCATCCTCACCTCTGAAATCCCTCAAGATTTCAGTGGTGAGGAGACCCAAACACCAAGGTCTCGGAGCTCAATCAAAATGGCACAAAATGGAGCCTTACAAGGCTTAAGAGGGGTCAAACAACCTCAAACCACAAAACACTCTAAACAAACTATTTAGAGGGCCTAAAAAAAGAACTTTTTTATGTTATACACTAAGCTCAAAAACAGTTTTAAGATAGGCAAAAACAGTATGCAAGAATGGGGTAAAAGGGGGTAAGATTGTTACCCTTGTTGACCTTCTTCACAAATGGTGGACCAGCCCCTTCCTTGAACTCAAAACAGCTCCAAAGCTTCAAGAACAAACCTCTGGCCCTTCAAGAACCAAGAAAAGGTGTAACACTATGTGTTTGTGTGCAATAGTAAGACACAAACACACTTATACACACACAAGAGAGAGATATAGAGATAGGATGTGTATGAAACCCTAACCCTAGAACTCAAACCCTAAAATGGCTGTCTAAAATGTCCAACCCTTTTTTTGTCCAACCCTCAAGCCAAGAGAGAAGGGCTCCTCTTATAAAGAAGCCAATCTTGTAAAGCTTACTCAAGAAGCTAACAAGGAAGCCATCCCTCCATACACGTGTATGGAGGGGAACAAAATGCAAGCCAGCTGTATTAAAATATTTGCAAAAGCAGATGAACAGTAGTCGGCTGCTCAAAATTGACATTTTGACAAAATGGACTGCCGACCGGCAACAAAGAGTGCCGACGGGCAATATACATTGCCGATGGCAACAAACCACCAGCCGTGGCCTCTGGCCATGGCCGGTGATGTGTGGGGATGCCTCACAAGGCATTCCCTACCCCTCCAAGGCAAAACACAAGTGTTTGGTGCAAAACCAGACACTAAACAGTCGAGTTCGGAGATCCTGAGGCGAGGCGCGTAGCTGAGACCTCCAAGAACTCCAAACGAACACAAACATGGATGATCATCGGGTGTTCAAACGGTGACGTCCAAGTCTTGAGGACGGTCAAAAATGGGGTGTCTACAGTTGCCCCTCTTTGACAGAACGCGATAGTCATAACAATGACGGGAGTGAATGTCAAAGCCCAGAGACGACCCATTTTTGACAAGGCCGAAGACTTAGACAAACATGCAAGACAAACAAGATATGCGCCCGAAGGCAGGGGCAAAATGCAACACAATGCACAGAGCCAAACATAACTTATGATCATGCAAAGAAAGCTATAATGAAGCATACATGCGACAATTTTAAGCTAGCATACACCAAACTACACTATAATGCAGAAAGGATGTAAGAGAATTATGTAATTCTCGATACGTCTCACTCGGAGGATACAACATCTGTGCGGCTCGTCTGGTTCCACCAGCTGCAAATGAACCGTACATACAATATCGTGCCTGTAAAGAAAACAACTTAGCAGGTATGATATTGTTAGCAACATGCATGATAATGCAAGAATGAATGCAAAATGATATGCAATATATACAAAACAATGTATAAATAATGCAAATGAAAATGCAATGCAATTGAAACAATGCGAACTACAAGCAAAGCAATTGAATCATGATCCAATCATGAGCGGTTCGAAACCACACAAATGTCAAATAGATTGATGGAGGTAACAAGTCCGTCTACCATAGAACGGTCTACTGAACTATGAGAAATGTAGACGGACACAAGAACAAGTATTGGGTGGAATGACATAAGTGGGGTAACGACCCGCTGGAGAAAGGACTGCGATCCTAATGCTGGATGCGACAATTACACTACAATGTAATATATAATGAAAATGCTGGGGAAATGGCAATGGATATGGCACGCGGGCCAAACCAAATCTTGCCTAGGAAAGGCATGTACACATACAAGCCGTGTCTGACATAGAACGGTCGACTGAACTATGTTTCGACGCGAGAAGTATGGGCACATACCGGACCAAGCTCAATCATGGAAAGGCGCGAGCCCTAAATGGAAGTGATGCAGTGAATGCATGCAAATGACAATGCAATATGCACTATATGCAAAGGAAATGGATACAATGGATATGGCCTGCGGGCCAAACCAAATCTTGCCTAGGAAGGGCATGTACACATACAAGCCGTGTCTAACATAGAACGGTCCACTGAACTATGTTTCGACGTGAAAAGTATGGGCACATACCAGACCAAGCTCAACATGGAAAGGCGCAAGCCATAGGCGGAGGTGATGCAGTGAATGCATGCAAATTACAATGCAATATCTACAAATATGTAATGGAATGGAAATGGATACAATGGATATGGCCTGCGGGCCAAACCAAATCTTGCCTAGGCAAAGCATGCACACGTACAAGCCTCGTCTAACATTGAATGGTCCACTGAACTATGTTTTGACGTGAAAAGTATGGGCACATACCAGACCAAGCTCAATCATGGAAAGGCACGAGCCCTAGGCGGAGGTGATGCAATGAATGCATGCAAGCGATAATGCAATATGCACTATATTCTAATGATGCATGACAATGCAACTATTCACGATGATGCATGACAATGCAATTATATATTTTTTTGTTTATTTTTTTTTTGAAATGCAAATGATGTATGAAATGCATGTTGCACGGAATGCGCGACAACACGCGGCTTTTGAGATGCATGACAACGCAAACGAACTGTGCACATCAATGCACAAAAGGTCTTGCACCTTCCAAGGATTTAAGGTCTCCTAGACCGTGGAAATTCTCGATATGGCTCACTCAGAGTATATCATACCTGTCTAGTTCATCTGGTTGTACCAACCTTAAATGAACCGTACATACAATATCGTGCCTGCAAAGAAAACAAACTTAACAGGTATAATGTGATTAACAACATGCATATTAATGTACTTAGAAATGCGTGACAACGCAAAGCAAGCGGGAAGCATAACAATGCTGTGAAGGCACAGACATGTAAGTGGAGCACGCGGTCGACGCGGGCAACGAAATTAAACATAAGCATACGGTCTACACAAGCAATGAAATTCAACATAAGCATGCGGTCTACGCAAGCAAAACATGCAGTCTACGCAAGTAATGAAACTAATTGCAAACATGCGGTCTACGCAAGCAAAACATGCGGTCTATGCAAGTAATGAAATCGATTACAAACATGCGGTTTACGCAAATAATGAAATTGATTGCGTACATGCGGTCTACGCAAGTAATGAAATTGATTGCAAACATGCGGTCTACGCAAGTAACGCAATTAATTATAAACATGCGGTCTACGCAAGCAAAACATGCGGCTACGCAAGTAATGGAATTGATTACGAGTATCAAAACATGCGGTCTACGCAAGGAAAACATGCAGTCTACGCAAGTAATGAAATTGAACAAACATGCGGTCTACGCAAGCAAAACATGCGGTCTACGCAAGTAATGAAGTTGAACAAATATGCGAATGCAATGAGATGCACAAAACCGCGCAATGCGTTAGACAACGTGAGTGCACAAGACAGTGCGATGGAATGCATGCAAAATGCAATGATGATGCGCAAAATAGCGCAATTGAATGCATGCAAAATGCAATGAGATGCACAAAACCGCGCAATGCGTTAGACAACGTGAGTGCACAAGACAGTGCGATGGAAGGCATGCAAAATGCAATGATGATGCGCAAAATAGTGCGATTGAATGCATGCAAAATGCAATGAGATGC